CTTGTTCCCGCTCTCAGGGAGCTCACTGTCTACAACCAACAACTGAGGGCTAAACACGATGTAGCCAGATTCCCCAAAGGAAGTTACGTGCAGAACCCAAGAGCCTCTGGGCAGAGAAGTGAGGAGAATGCTGTGAGATGATTAGGCCCTAGGGCGGTGGCAGGAGGACTTGCTCAAAGACGGGGCACATGTTGCCCGAGCAGCTTCTGAAAGGAGTAGGATGTGGGTTACTGACACTAAGAGTGAGATCAAGAAAAAATAAAAAAGATAAAAGGAGTAGGATGACCAATTGTCCCAGTTTGCCCTGCACTGTACTGGTTTTAACAACGAAAGTCCTGTGTTCCAAAAAATTCCTCGGTCATTGGAAATCCAGAATTGTTGGTCACCTAGGAGGGAGGGAGACTGACTAGTTTCTTTGGAGGAAGAAGGGCATTGAGGTCTCTGGGCTCAGTCCTGAGGCACTATTCGTTTTCCTTTGGGGTGTGGCAGAGAATGGTGACCTTCACACGCTTTCTGATCTAGCCCTGAGGAACTGCATCCAAATCTCTTGAGAGTACGGGAGGCTGGTACAAGGATGTGCAATCCTGGGCCCGCTAAACCAGGAGAATGTGTGAGAAGTGACGGTGGTGTGCAAGAGCCTGGGAGAGCAGCCGTGCCCACAATCTGAGGAGAAGCAGCAGCCAGGACAGGTGAGGGTAAAGGCCACCAGAGATGGAGCACGCAGCAGTAGTGGCCTCTGAATCCAGAACAATGGATTTACGCACTAATAAAAGGGCCTTGGAAGCCTCTGAGCCGCGTGCCTGTTGCCCACGTACTCCTTTCCTTCTGGCAGAGCAGGGGAGAGGTGCTGGCTGAGAACAAAGAACGTGGAACAAACACAGTTGTCCGTTTGTGCCCCCAGGCCTCTCCTAGGCAATAGTCCAGCGGGTGAAGGAAATCAGCTCTGGATTTTAAATCTCAGATCTTCATGTTTTGTTTACCCAACACCTAGCACCTGAAGCTATGTGCAAAATTTTGTGTATAAGCACCTTTTGGGAAAATAGCATTCATCAGGGTCTCTAAAGAGTTGTTTAAGATCTGAAAACAGTTTAAGAAACACTAGACTAAGTGGTTTCTAAGGTCTGCGTTTTCACATTCTGTGATTTTCATAAAACTCAAGATAATTGGTTTCAACTTACAAAAAGGATAACGAAGGAAGTGTCAGGGTTCAATAAGCCCAAGAAATATCATTCTGAGAAATATGCTAAATATTTTTTTTTACTAATCCCACAAATTTTATAACAATGAAAAGAAGGAGACACAAAATAGCATGTATAGTATAAATCTGCTCATGCAAAGTTCAAAGCCAGTGCCTGTCACTTACTTTCCAATGGTTCAGCAAATAAAATACACATGCATGTCCATCTATTGAGATATAAAGAAAATGTGGTCAAATGTTAACAATTGAAAATCTAGGTGAAGAATTTGCAAAGGTTCATTGAACTATTTTGCTACTTTTCTGTAGGTTTGAGATTTCTCAAAATTAAAAAAAGTAGGAAAGGGTTCAAAAATCTGACAAGGCTAACATATTATTTAGGAGTGCAAACAGAGGTGGTAAAAAGATAAAGAATGCAATTATTAAAATTCAGAATAGTGGCAACTTGGGAAGAAGGATGAACTTTTGCCGAAAGAGAGCCTTGTGGGAGGTTTCTGGTGCTGGCAGTTTCTTCACCTGGGTGTAAATGGACAAATTTTCTTTAGAATTATTTATTAAACTATATGTATAAATTCTATGAAGTTTTTCTGTATGCATATTTTGCAAAAGAAAAAAGGTAAAAACAATGTAATAAGGTATATAAAAATACTTTCAAAGAAAAATTGCTATACACTTGTTAAACATTATTATAAAAAATAAACTACTTTTGCTTTGTAACAAGCAGATGTAAGTAAGGGGACTTTTGCCATGTGAGTTGTTTACTTGAGAACACTCTGTCAAAAGGTACTTCCCGAGGACCAATTTTTGAGGCTAGCAATATAATAATGTCATCTTATTTTTATGTGAGATAGTTCTTATATAACCATCAATTCTGAATCTTGTTTAGCTTGATATTAGGTGATACATTCTGCTAAATAATTCCCATGAACTGCAGTATGACACCCCAGTATTCATTTTGGCAGATATTCTAGAGAAAACTCTGGCTGAAAGTTTTATAATTATTCAAATATCATAAACAATTTATATTGTTCATGTATAAATACTGCCTTCTTTTATAGCTTTTTCTGACTTGATCATTAGGACTTCACAGTATTTTTTGCGAAACACTCAAAGTCAAAAGTTGGTTAGAATTTCACATTCTGAAATTGACTTTTAATATAGTGATACTAATTCACTTGATTGTTATGTTCTGTATCCTCTAAATCAGTATCAAAATCTGAATCATCATCACTTTCTTCATTTCTTCTGCAGCTTCTTCTATGCTTGGAACTTTGATTATTTCCAATATTTTCTGTTTTTTCTGGTTCTTTATTAAATGGAGTAACAATATCTTCTTTCCACATTTTGCACAAACTTCAAGGTCATAGGCACATGGTCTACACATTATATGATAAGAATCTTTCACTTTCCTTTGTAAACATTTAACACATCTTTCAGGTTTTGATAATGCTTTGTATTTGTTGTATTTTACACGCCATTCAAGAACTTCTTTACAGTGCTGACATACTCCACCATGAAGTTTTGCATTAATTTTCTGGGTCTGAATACTCTTATCAAACTTGTGATTTTTGAAGCTAAACATATTCTGGTGCTTCTGAGGCCTGGAGCGAGCCACGTTGCCTTTCTGGGAACTCATAGCTGAAACCACAGCCACCCATGCCAAGTGCAGAGAAAAAAATTACGCTAAGTATTAACATCAGGTAAAACAACAATTTTCTCTGTTGCAAATGAGGGACTGATATGGTTGCTTTTATGTCTCAACTTGGCTAGGCTAGTTAGGCACATTGTGTACATGCCCTGTTGTTTGGTCAAACACTGGTCTAGGTGTTGCCGTGAAGCTATTTTTTAGATGTGCTTAACATTTAAATCAGTAGAACTTTGAGTAAAGCAGATCACCCTCCATAAATGTGGGTGAGCCTCATCCAATTGGTTTCAAGCCTTAAGAGCAAAGACTAAGGTTTCCCAAAGAAGGAATTCTCCTCAAAACTGCAACACAGAAACCCTGCCTGAGTTTCCAGCCTGCTACCCTTCCCTACAAATTTCCAGGACTTGCCAGCCCCCACAAACATGTGAACCAATTCCTTAAAATAAATCTCTTTCTCTCTCTCTCTATCCTATTGGTTCTACTTCTCTGGCGAACCCTGACCAGTACAGGACCCATTAGTCATTTATTTCAAATTACAATAATGGGAATTAACACACACACACACACACACACACACACACACGCACACAGACACACACACACATATCCCGCTACCTGACCAAAATGGTCAGCACTAGCAAAGGCAGTCCTGAGGACATTTGGACATTTGGAACAAATGAGTACTGCTGGACAGGGACAGGGTACACAGAGAAAAAACATATTCTTCCAGGTGTATATGCCAAGCTTCAAGTTATATGGCCAAAACACCAATTTTGTCAAATTGGCTGAAAGCAAGTTGGTTAACAGGACAATTTGACCAAAAGAATGATTTGATTCAAAATGAATATCCTTTACTTTTTAATTGATATACTACTTTGCACTGTTCAACATTTCGCAAAAACGCATATCCATATTACTTTGATAATTTTACAAAAAGAAGATAACGAATATTTTCAGGCACTGCCTTTACACTAGTGCTGGTGGCAGTGGAGAGCTGGGTGGAACAGGTATTACCACCTCCCCGCTCCCTACAGATCAGGACCCTCCCCTGGGAAGGCCAGCGGCCCGAGGCTGGTGAACCTGAGCCGCAAGAATCTTGAAATTTCCACAGGCCCCCTTCTTGCCCCTTTTTGCCAAGTGCCAGGAAGAGCCCATTCCCTGTGGGAAGCAACAAAAGGTAAAGGCCCTCTGTGAGGCTTTCAGATTTCCAAAACAGCAACCGCTGGGGTGGAGTGTGACGGCAAAACAGCCACCCTAAACTTTCTCCTTTCTTTCTTACCAGAGGGCTGGGAAAGGCCTTGCTCCTTGTGAAGGTCTTGCTGGTTGTTTCCTATTTCATTTAGCAAATATTGATTTGTACTGTATTTGCAGACTTTACCAGGTTTTATGGGGAGAGAAGTCTTCAGGAACTCTCGGTGTATTAATAAATACTCTTGGCTGAATTTTGAATTTTTCATGTCATTTTATTTTTATTTCATTTTTGAAAAATATTGGTTTTTGTCATCTAACTCTAACATATTGGATGTGCATTTTTGCAACACTGACTAAAATTGCACCCCAAATGTCAACAAAAAACAAAAAACAACGAAAAACCAAACCACATATGGCAGCGACCTCTATAAATGTTTTAAGCTTTGAAAGATTCTGCAGGAATGCACAGACACAGCTTAGTTTGCCAGTTACTCAGAGGTTAAATAAAAATCCCTCCGGCCCTCAAGTCATAATCACAAGTAATAAGTTAATAAATGTGCATTATGGTGAGCCCAAACTTTTGGAGATTTTTACATCAACAAGCCTATCCATTTTCCTCATAACTAGCATATGGGGTAGCTATTTTTGTTAATAGAGATCCCTAAAACGGAGCCAGGGTTAAAAGAAACGCAGACGCCACTATGAGGTGTGAAAGACATAACTAGAATTACGGGCCAAGTCAATTCTAAACGCGAGGGGCATTTGCAGACCTAAGCAGGCCTAGGGCCCCACATCACCCCTGCAAAGCGCGCTCGGCTCTACCCGCCCCGCGCGGCCTTCCGGCGCGCAGGCGTGACGTCACGGATCCGGGGCGGGGCCCGCGGCAGGGCCGGACCGCCCCCGGATCTCGCGGAGGGGCCGGGCCGGAGAGGGGCCGGGCCGGGGAGGGGGCGGCCCGGCGGGGCTCGCTGGGCCCTTGAGATGCGCTGGGCCCCTGAGGTGGCCGCCTTCATAGCGCGCCGGCTCGGTAGGCGGCTGCGGCCAGGAGGCGTGCAGGGTCGGGATGTCGGGGCTGCCTACCGACCTGGAGCAGGGGTGCCGGGAGCAGAGCGCACGGGACCCGAGGCGCGCTGGCTTCGTGCTGGGGCTGGACGTGGGCAGCTCTGTGATCCGCTGCCACGTCTATGACCTAGCAACGCGGATCCGTGGCTCCTGCGCGCAGAAGGTGACTGGGGAGCGGGGTCGGGCGCGGGTCTGGGTCTCGCAGGGCTCCTGGGATCCGCGGTGGGAGGCGAGCGGGCGGGTCCATACCCCTCGGCCTGAGCCTGGCCACCTGCGGCACCGGCGAGCCTTCGGTTCTGAGTGGCGCGCGAGGACCCGCTAGACCCTCCGCATTCCTTCCCTGGCCGGGGCTCAACCCTGCGCGCCTTTCCTGCCCAGGCTGAGGGCACGAGAGGCCCGGTGCGTGACCCGGGCTGCTCGCTTGCTTCACCTGGGGATCCACCTCTGACTTTACCTGGGTGGGACTGAGGTGACTCCCAGGGTAGTATTGAGCTGGGCGTATCCAGCTAGAACGTGGTTTGTGACTTGCTTAGTTTTTCCTGCACTTCCTTAATAGGCCGTCAACCCCTTTATTTACATTTTAATTTTTCATGTTCTGATAGAATTTAAATTTAGTGTCTGTTCTTCAGTTGTCATCATTATTAACTACTCCTCAAAGTGCTGGTTCCCAAAATGAGCACTTGATTTTTATGGATATTGGAGGTATTGGGCAAGTTTTGAATGCCGTGTTATCTTTTCTTCTTTGCATCTTTGAGAATTCATAAAAGTGTCTTTTTTCTGGTTTGAGAAACCTACCAAGTCATTAGTTGATTTTTAGTGAAGCATTGAACTATTGATAATGTTGGTCAGCGACTAACAAATTGGTATTTTTCTGTTCTCACTTTAATGAAGCGTTGATATCTACACAATTGTCAACGCACAGAAATAATGTTTATTGCATATGGTGTTCTTATTTACTCCTTTTTTCAATACCAACATCTTTTTATGTTAGAAGTGGAAGGGAGGACAGGAACCATCAGTTACCTAAACTATTCCCAGCAGCACTGATCCCTGCTTTTTCTCTGTGTCTCGTGCTTTGTTCAAACCCCTTAGAGATGTTTTCGCTTTGTTCAATCCCCTTAGAGATGTTTTTCTTCACAGCAGTTGCAGAGGAACAGGTCAAGCTAAGGTACAAGTAAGCAATGACTGCTTTGAGCATTTGTTTTGAGGAAACATCAGATTTCCATTCAGGTTTCAGGACCAAAACAGTGAGCTGGGACTGCAGCAGCTCTCTGGTCCCTTCTCTGGCTAGCTGTGTGGGAACGCTATCCACTGAGGTAGGGGTAGGGTCCTGTCCCTACCCCAGCCTGAAAGGAGTTGAAAGGCAGACACAGTCCTTCAGCAGCTGGGTGCTTCTTGTCTTTTTATGCGTCTTTATTCCAAAGACAATGATACTTTTTACTGTCTTCTTTACAATTCTAGACACAAAGTACTTTTGTTTTAAGCAGTGATTTTAAAAAAAGGGATTGGAATATTTGGAACCAAAGGGAGAAATAAATTATTAGAAAATGCGGAGTTTTACAGTTGCTATATAATTTGAGACAAATCATTAGGTTTTTAGAAATGAAGTTAAGAATCTCAAAGGTGAAACACAATTGCCGTGAGTGGCAGGAGGCTAGGATGGTTTGCTTAGACTCTAAACTGTGAAGAAGGTGTCTGGAAAAAGATATGAGTAAGTAGAAATATAAAAAATCTCTGCCCCTCTAGAATGAAGCACAGTCTTAGATTTAGCAATGGGTTTCAAACTGTGGTAGTTTATAGCAGTACTTCTTTTTTTTTTTTTTTTTTTTGAGACAGAGTTTCATTTTCTTGCCTGGGCTAGAGTGCCGGGGCATCAGCCTAGCTCACAGCAACCTCAGACTCCTGGGCTCAAGCAATCCTCCCGCCTCAGCCTCCAGAGTAGCTGGGACTACAGGCGTGTGCCACTATACCCGGCTAGTTATTTTTTCTAGTTGTAGTTGTTTTGGCTAATTTCTTTCTGTTTTTAGTAGAGACGGGGTCTCACTCTTGCTCAGGCTGGTCTCAAACTCCTGAGCTCAAGCAATCCTCCCTCCTTGGCCTCCCAGAGTGCTAGGATTACAAGCGTGAGCCACCGCGCCCGGCCAGCAGTACTTCTTAAAGTGTGGTTCTGGGGCTGCTGGGATTGAGATAAAGAAAACTAAGTGTGTAGAAACTTGTGTGGCAATTTGGCAGAATAATTTTATGTCTATTGACTCTAATATTAAGACATTTGGGATTTTATTTTGTGTCACTTTTTTTCTAGAAACTTATTTTGTCTTAAAAATTGTTGGTCCAAAATAAATAGAAATTAAAAAAATAAACAAAAAAACAAGCAGCAACTGGTCCTTTACTGAAGATAGCTTGAGTTTTTAGGAATGAGGGTCTTGTTGGTCTACATTGCTACTTAGAACCTAGTTTATTACCCCACGGCACAGAATAAATACTGAATTGCAGTTAAAGTGTTAGGAATTCATGGGCCTCTATGACTTAGACACAGAACTTGATTGTGTTTATTTTCTCAAGTGAAAAATCACACCTCTGCTAATATTATGATAGAAAGAATGTATGATAGAAACCTAAAACCTCTTAGGTAGGATTTGATTGATACTGCCAAATAAATAGCTTAAAAAAAAGAAAAAGAAAAAAGAGAACATCCTTTAGAAACAAGAACAAAATAGGCTGTGAGAAGACTTTAATTTTATTTCTTATGGCATTCGTTTTTTTATGTTTAACAGCAGAGATACATTTTAAACTTTCTTCTATAATGAATATATTTGTAAAAGTCTGTCTTATGGACTCTTAAATATTGGTATTAAATACTAGAAGAATATTCCTTGTTGGAAACCCCACACGTGAATATTTGATATTTTGCTTTTAAAAATGGAGACAATTTATCATGTTCCCCAGTAGAACATCATGCCATTATGAGAAACCATAAAAGATGACATCTTGGTTGGTTAGGAATGTCATTAAAGAGAACAATGGAATGTCCAATACTGTATACTCTATACATTGTTAAAAAACAGATGATTTTGTTGTCTTCTTTTTAATCAACAAAAGAAATTTTCTTCTTAACTTGGATTATATTCTTGATCTAATTTTGCTTTGGTCTTCCTTCTGTAGAGGAACAGATTTCACTATTGTAACATGCTTGGGGCTGGTGCAAGCTGTCCAGGTTGGTAGAGTGGTGGGAAGTGACCCTGGCAGTCCACAGTCAAGTCTTAAAGTGATGGTGTCCACATCGAGTTTTTTGCAATGAGGAAGTATTTGTTGTGGTTGAGCCATTACGGTCTGTAGTCATAAAAGTCCTGCATAGAAAGGGCAGAAATTAACTGGTGGAAGGGGAATAGATTTGTTAAATCTGTTTGTTTCTTATGAGCTCACTGGGAAATAACATCCTTTTTCCACATGATCTTGTGTCACCCTTATGCTCCTCACATTGTCACTGTTTTCTCAGAGTTCCTTTTTTCTTTACTTTTCCCTTCTCTTATATGTTAGAGATTTTTCTTTTTTTTATTTTTTTTTGAGACAGAGTCTCGCTGTGTTGCCTGAGCTAGAGTGCCGTGGCGTCATCCTAGCTCACAGCAACCTCAAACTCCTGGGCTCAAGCG